AGGTAGGTTTAACCAAGATAAGTGGTTAGAATGGAAACCCTTGTGCTAAAGGATCACCACTTAGGAATTCACCTGACCACTGGAGTGATTTTCTGCAGCAAAGCAAAAGGAAATGACAACTAGGATCATAAGGGATACTTTGTCCCCAAGTTTATGACTCAGAGGAGAAACTACAAGGCCCTTGTTTCCAGATCTCATCCCCAGAGCACAAGGCAGGTAATAGTAGAGAACAAATAGGAGGAATAATCTGAAATAATTAGGAGAACACAATTTTAATAAATGAAATTGGAAGGAAGGGGAACTGATGAGCTACTGAATGTTCAGTCTGTGCAAAGCTATCGTGAGATGTAGGACCTGCTCATCTCCTGGTCTTTTGTCTGCAAGGAAACAGGCAACAAGAGGATGCCTTCAGCTTAAAGATTGTCCAACCCTGGCTTAAACTAAAGAAGAGCCTTCCTTCGAGAGGCGTTTGCATACAGCAATTTCTTTTAAGACTGCCTTCCATGTATTCTCTGCACACATGGTGGAGTGATCACATGGCTTCTCTGGGCAGTAAACAGTAGCTAGGATGACTTCATCCACCACTGGGATGAAGGGCGGGTCACCTGGTAAGCACAGTGCCTGAAGTGCAGGCAGACTTTGAGCTGGCCAGAGAGCACATTCCAAGAATATGGCACAGAAGGTTTCGGGATGTGGAGCAGCCCAGCAAAATGAGGCAAGGGAGAAAATCAGGAAGACAACAGTGGTGCACAGCAAAGGCAAACACTATGGGTGCAGTCAGGCAACAGCTTCATGGAGCAAGGCGCAGAAGCACTAAAACCTGGACATGAAAGAAACAAGACTTTGACCTCAAGATCCTGACTTCAGAGTAGCTAGTCATCTAGTCACAAAACTCAGTACTGGCTGACAGAAAGGAGCCTGCTCCAGGGTGACCCCTTTGGGGTTAGGAGGTGTCCTGCAGGCTCAGGTTAGGGGTGAGTGAGGTCACTAGGCTGGGCTGTGAGATGGCAGCAATCATACATTCTTTATCCTTAAGCTTTAAAATTATAGGTTCTTTGGTACTGACACAAATTTGAATAATAGGATTTACTTGTCTGAAAGGAAAAGATAATTGGGATGGGACGACCCCCCCCCCACACTTGTATGTTTCCCCTGGTGATAGCATAGTGGTTTTCTCTAGGAGACACCTCCTCCCCTGCCATACCCCCAAAGCTTGACGATCGGGATACCAACTCCCAAGTGCACGCTCCCCTCTGTGAGTGGGCCAGTGACTTGGCCTGACTGACGAGCACCTTTGGTCCCCAGACACAGTGATGAGTTCAGGAATGCACTCATGAAGTGGGCCCCATGAAGATAAATTCTGAAATTCTTCTTGGAACTCCCAGGAAGGGGCTGCTCTCCTGCTGAGATTTCTGAGCTATCGGATGTAGAATGCAGGCCCAGATGGCAGAAGCCACTGCCAGCAAGGGAAACCAACCTAAAGGAAAGCAGAACTGAAAGAGTGAAGGAGGTTGAAAGACAACAGTTCTGGAAGTGTACCTTGAGGCTTTGGTAACGGCTAAGAGAGGCTGCTGGGGTTTGGATGTGGTTTGTCCCCCAAGGGTTTATGTGCCGGGAGCTTGGTCCCAGTGTGGCCATGTTGGGTGGTAAGGGGACCTTTAAGAGGCGGGGCCTAGTGGGAACTCACTAGGGATGGGGGACTGCCTTCAGGCAAGGTGACAGTGGGAGCCTGGTTAGCTCTTGTGCAGAGGTTGGTTATAAAAGAGCGGGGCTGCCCCTCCCCACTCTCTGGCTCCCTTTCTCACCATGTAATCTCTTCCTTCCTCGGGCTCTCCCACCTCTGTGATGCCGCCTGCCATGAGGTCCTCACCAGAGTGAGCTGCGCCGATGCTGGCACCATGCCCTTAAGTTTTCAAAGCTGTAAAGAGACCTTCTTTCTCACAGGTCACCCAGCCTCGAATATTGTGTTATACCCATGGGAAACAGACTCATACAGATGTGTGCTCCCGGTCTTCACTGTTACTATTTCTTAGGACCTAATTCTGCCTGAATTAGGTTTCTGTTACTTGCAACTTGGTGTCCGGGAGTGGGAAGGGATAGAGACTGTATTATCCTGAATGATGCTGTTTTTCTATCTTCTCAGCGTCAGTGAGATTTGGTGCTTCCTATTGTCAGATACTGTTCTAAGCACCAGGGGTGCAGCATGCATGGGGTCCTTGCTGTCGAGGAATGTAACTGTTGGGAGCAGCTGGAAAGTAACTACACAAGCAAGACTAAGCCAGCCCGGGAACGCGGTAGCTCCTCCAAGCAAGTAAACAAGCTGTTGTAGCTTGTTAAACTGGTTGCTGGGCAGCAAGGTGGAAATTAACCAACCTCTCGGGAATATAAATAAATGCTCTACTGTTCTTGAGCAGTTTCCCTTCTCCACTCAGGAGAGAGGACCTCCACCTGACCCCAGATTTTCGTCTCTTGTCTGTTTTTTCCTCATTCTCTCCACCGTTCCTTCCTGGGGTACAGCAAGAACCCAACAGATCCGTACATGTGACATTCCAGCAGGAGGAGATAGTCACTAAACTGTCAATACACAAGAAGAATTTAGGTCCAAATACCAGCTACCAAGAGTACTGAACAGGAGACACCTCCTGTCAGAATAGCTGATCTCGTAACGGAGGCAACACGTTTGAGTTGAAGTCACAAAGATATGACAGGAAGAGGCAGCTGTTCAAAGACTGGGGACATGTTCTGAATAGAAGGACCAACAAGTGTGAGGCTGAGACAGAACGAGACTGGCATGTTCAAGGGACAGAGAAGAGGGGAGGAAGGAGACGGAGAGAGAGATGAGGCTGGAGAAGTCCTCCTGACCTTGTGAGGGTGCGGGTTTAACCCTCAATGCAATGGGCACTCACAGGAGTGTTGTAGAGCCTATTTACCTTGAACACACAGTTCTGATTGGACCGAAGGAAGGAAAAGTGGGAGTAGGAGAGGCCTCTTGGGAGACAATGTAATCATCCAGGCAGGAGACGATGGAGCTATCTGGAGCTCAGTCAGAGCAGTGCACATGAAGCAGAAGAAAAGTGTATTCAGGACACGTTTTGAAGGCAGAGTCAATGGGATGTATTGTGGGTTAGAAGTGAGGTATGAGGAAGAGAGATGATTCAAGCACGATGACTAAGTTGTAGCCTGAGCAGTTAAGGTGAATGATAGTGTTGTTTACAAAAATGAGAAAGCCTCAGTGGGGTAGGGAGGAATCCATATTTCTGTCTCAGCTGTGTGAGACATCCAAGTGGATGTCAGGAGGGCCGTAGATAGGGCACGCCTGGGCTTCATGGGCTGTGTTTAGTCGGGAGGAACTTATTTCCAAGTCATAGACATAGAGAGGGACTGGAGGAAGTCACCTCGTTGACAAAGACAGGAGAAATGGTCACAAAGACAGTGCTGGGAGCTGCACCATCAGAGGAGAGAAGAAGCAAATGAGAACGAGGAAGGACCAGTGAGGAAGGAGGAACAGCGAGGCCTGACCAACAGTGTCACAGAGTTGAACAAGTCCACTAAAGGTCGACGAAGCTAAGGGCAGAGAACTGACTATTGGCTTTGGCAAGATGACCTTGATGAGGGGCCTTTCAGTGGAGAGGTGGGGGTGAAATCTGAGTGCAAGGAGGGAGGTGGAGGGCAGCATCCAGGCGGGACCCTGAGGCTTCATGACGGGCCACGTGGACATGAGGGATACCCTGATGAGCCCTGGGTAGGCACGTGCTGGCTTTTCAAGGTGTTTTTTTTTTTTTTTTAATGGCTTATTTAGTTTTAGTTTAAATGTGCATACAATGAAATATGCACATCTTCAGTAATGAGGCGTTTTACTTTTTTTTTTTTTTTAATGGCTTATTTAGTTTTAGTTTAAATGTGCATACAATGAAATATGCACATCTTCAGTAATGAGGCGTTTTACTGAGGTGAAAGTCGTATAACAGAATTAACCATTTAGAAACTCATTTAGTATATGCACAATGCTGTATGACCACCACTGCTGTCAGTTCTAAAACATTTATCACCCTCAGAGAAGACCCTGTATTCCTTCATGAGCACAGAATTTCCTTTGGGGACATTTTTGTTTCATTCTGTGCTTTATATTTGTGATAATAGTTAAGGTTTCTTTTACTAAATGCTATACCCTGAGCACCTCACATATATATCAACTCATTCATCTTCACAGTGGCTCTAAGTGGTAAATATAATTCTCCTCACCTCACTGTGAGAATCTGAGACTCTGAAAGACTGTCACAGGACACACTTTCTTAACGTCCATCTGTTATGGTTTGTCTGTGTGTCCCCCCAAAGGGGGGCCGTGGGGCAGGCTTTTAGAGTTGATTGATTATGGGTGTGAGAGCTACACCCACCCTGGGGTGGATAGTTTGCATATGTAAGGGAGAGGAAAAGGGTGCTTGAGGCCATTCCTGGCTTTTGTGTTTTGTTGCTTTTTGCTGTGTTTGGATGCCAGAGCTGCAGCCCTCTGCCATGTGCCATGCTGCCTTATAATCTGCCAAATACGGACTGAAACCTCCACAAACTGTAAGCGAAATAAACCTTTCCTTTCTTAATTTTGGACGTCAGATATTTTGTCCCAGCAACGACAGAAAAGTAACCAAGACACCATCTAAAACACCCCACGGAAAAGAAAGTTCACTTTTTAGGTCCAAATAGCTAAGCTTCACATAAAACAGCTCTTTATTCAAAGCACAGTGGCAAACCAAACTAACCTGTGGTGTTAGAAGTCAGGATTGTGGTTACTTTTAAGGGGAAAGCTTATAAAGGAGGGACGCGGGGAGCATCAGAGTAGCCGGTAGGGTGCTAGGGAGGGTCTTTTTCTTGACCTGTGTGGTAGTTACACTGCTGTGAATATTAAGGATAATTACTTAAGTCATATGCTTATGTGTACGCCTTTCTGTATGTATATGCCAACTAATTCTTTTTTTTTTTTTTTTTTTTTTTTTTTGATAACTAAGGAAACAGGAGGCCTGGGCTTCAGTTCCAGCCCTGAAGCTGACAAGCTCTGTGATCCCAGACAAGTCACTTGACCTCTCTGGGCCTGTTTTCTCACGTGTGAATGGAAACAGTAAGCCAGGTATTCTCCAAGGTCCTTTCCACTCAACGCTTCTGCACAGTTTCCCCACTTTTGCTGCTGAAAGCAGCTGAACACCTCCCGCTTCCTGACCTGGGCTGAAGAGGATCATGCTGCTGTTCCTCCTTTCAGGAAACTAACATTTGCAGCTGACGTCTCTGTGGTCCTCTTGTCAGCAGCAAGGCAGCTCTGAAGTTAGAATGAGAGTGCAGATAAAAAACTGCTCGTGATGAGGTGGCTGCGTATTCGAGTATTATTGTTACGTTTTAAAAATCAGTTAGCTGCATGGGAAAATGCCATTGAGACAAACATTCACTTTTCTCCCTAGCCTGGCTGTCCCTACAATTTATTTATTTTATTTTATTTTATTTTATTTTTTCTGGTACCGGGAATCGAACTTGGGAACTTGCACTTGCCAGGCAGACTCTTGTGCCACTGAGCTATATCCCCAGCCCTATGCTATTCTTTTTTTTCTTTTCCCAGTACCAGGAATTGAACTCACGACCTCACGCTTGCCAGACAGGTGCTGTGCTGCTGAGCTAAATCCCCAGCCCGCTGTCCCTGGATAGGGGGATAATGTCAATTCCAGGAGGGGAAAATATGCTGATATATTGGAACTTGATATATATTTTTTAAACCACGGAGGGAGAGATGGGGAATTTTTAAGTTTCTGCAAGGCTGGAGAGGTTGTGGGGTAATTACCTGTGGCTTGTTAACAAGCCTCTGACTCTGGCAGTGCCCACAACTCCGTTTTCTCCTTTTAGACAGTAACCAGAAAAAGTGCTTAGGAAGTCTGGGGCCAGCAATCCAGAGTCTTGTCTCTGGGATAAGACCTGGTTAGTCCATAGAACAAAGCAAATGGAGCAGCAGAAATTGTTTCCTATGTTTGTTCATTGTTCAAGTAACGGGGTGAACTAAGTAGGTCCGCTGTTACGGCTGTGTTTATTTAGAGCTGTTTCCGAAGTCTGCCTTGGTCTGTGCAGTGCATTAACCCGAGAACCCTGGGCAAGTTACAGAAACTTCCTGAGCCTTAGTTTTTCCTCCTCTGTGAAAGGAGACACTAAAATACCCCCCAACCACAGCGCTTGTGCATGCTTGTGCGTGCATGTGTGTGTGTGTGTGTGAATATGTGTGCGAATGCATGCATGAGCATGTGAACTAGATAACACGACCCATGGACATACTTTGCCCCGCAAGTCGCATACAACAGGCATTGAGTAAATATTCCCTATTTTTACTCTTGGTTGGGAGAGATAGTTCTTACACCTGTGGGGAGAGACAGGGCAAAGTTAGCAGAAAATGGTTCTATTTGGTAGCCTTTGGGTGGTCTGGGGAACTACTGCATGGGGTGGGGACTCCCATGAGGTCCCCAGTAGGGATTGATTGCTTGATGATTGATTGATTGATAGATACAGGGTCTCACCATGTAGCCCCAGCTGGCCCCGAACTCATGGCGATCCTCGCCTTAGCCTCCTGAGTGCTGGGATCCTTAGAACCACGAATAGCCTGGGCAGGGAGGCAGTCAGATGTTCTGAATCTTCCCCTGCTCTTGAACGGTGACCACGCCCCCTGCGGCCACAGCCGGTGACACAGGGCTCTGGCATAATGGAAGGCATTTGGGGATCTATTTTTCTCGCGCTGCTCAGAGCATGACTCACCTCAGTCCCCTGTGTCACGGCGAAGGAGAGGGGAACACACAAGAAACTGCCAAGGGTGAGTCAAATCTCAGCAGAGCGCTCTGCCCCGAGGCAGGACTGCTTTTCTTGTACATTCCTCAGATTCAAATGGCAAAGCCCGGACTGCGCCTTCCTTCTCAGCGGAGGGCGGCGAATGGAGCCGCGCTGTGATTGTGTTCTGCCTGGGCGAGAGAACGAGGGGAAGTGACACTCAGAGCCAGGCTCGGGGGAGAGTCTGCATGGTGAGCACAGGTTGGCTCAGCCTCAGGCCCACCTTCTCCGGAAACCTTGGCTCACATCTCTGTCTTCTGCCCGCCCCTTCCAGGAGCATCCCTGCGGCGTCTCAGCTGGCTCTATAGAGTCAGGAGTGTGCAGCGCCGCTTCCCACCGGCCCTGCGGTGGCTCCCAGCAGGGACGCGGTCAAACCCCCTCGCCTCTATTTCAGTGCACGGCTGCTAGTCCTTCCCTCCAAGGCCGCGAGGCCTCCGCCCACGCTCTGGCTCCCCGACCAGGCTTTCTTCCCAGGTCTGTGAGGTCTTCCCCTAGAAGGCGTCCAGAGAGATAAGCGCTAAGGGAAGGAAGAGAGGCCATCGATTTTATGATCACTTCTCCTTTAAGCTAAAAGTTTTTCTTATACCAGGTGATATGTGCACGTATTTCCTTATGTCCCTGATTCAAAGCACTGGAAAGATTAAAAGGTAGAGGATGGGGCGAAGTTCAGTGTTTAGTGCAGGAATAGAGCAACATAACATCAACGAATGGACCAGCTTTCTGTCTCCAGTGACACACACCCCACAGGCCATGGGAACCAGCATCACAGGAAAAATTGATTTTAACTGACCTGGCGCACCTGAGGCTGGTGACCCTCAGACTTGACTGAGCGGTGCAGTCACAGGATCTCTGAGGATACCAGCTCTGGGCTCTGTGCCAGGGGATTCTGAATCCCTGGGTCTTGAGTGGAAGTCTTCATTTCAGAAGTTCTGATGGCTGGCCAGGTTTGGGAGTTCTTAACATGGGCCACATTTTTTGAAAGGAAATGATCACGTAGCATCTACCATCAACAAGGCAGTTCAGATTTATCTGTAAACCTTTCAGTGCAAAATATAACATACACAGAACATACAAATCAGAGGTGCAGCTCAGTGATTTAGCTCAGTGTAAATGCCCAAGCACCCTCCTTCTAGTTGAGAAATCGAACATTGCCAATAGATGTATTTTTTGGTAGCTAAACAAAATCTTGAGAATTTCCCCTTATGTAGACCACTGGAACTATTCCGTTTCTATAGCACATTGTGCTTTAGTTGTGATACTCTTGATTTAAGGAGCCAACTTTTCTTTTTCAAAATATATTTTTATTTTTAATGGGTAGGTGGTAATTGTACCAATTAGTAGGGTACAGTGAGACATTTCAATACATATATACACGTGTAATGATCAGAGCAGGGTAATTGGCATATCTCTCACCTTATGGATTTATCATTTTGTTGGAATTTTGTGAGCGTTAAATTTGTTGGTTAGTCAGTCGTGCCTGGCAATACCACAGTGCTCGCTATTCAGGTCCCGTTCTCCCTTTGCTGCTCTCCCGAATGACTTCCTTGGAGTTGCTCCCTGCCCCATATCTAGGCTCTGTGCCAGAGACCTGTGTCATTTCTATCCACGTTCAGACTTGCTCTCTTATCTCTTGCTTTCAAAGGAAACACAAACAAAAACCCCTCCTTGCCCCCAAACCCGTCTCTTGCCATCACCCTGGTTTTCTGCTTCCCTTCACAGCAGGGGTTTTGTGGTTACTATCTCAGTTGGGGCTACCATTGGGGCTTCAGTCTCCACTAAGCCACTGAGACTGCACCGGTCAGGATGACCCACGGTATTTGCATTGCCTCGGCCCAGTGACAACTGCTGTCTTCTGAGCAAAGATGGCCTCCCAGCAACAATGGCCGGAGCTGATCGTGCTGAGAGGTGGGGAGAGAGCTTTCCCAAGGTGAGGACCAGCTTGGTGGGTTCAAGGAACAGACGGAAAGCTAATATGGCTGGAGCACAGAACTGGTATCAAATAAGTGCCCTGGAGGAACACTTCTACCCTGAGCATGGCACAGCTGGTGCCCCAGAATGGTTGCTACCACTGTTATTAGAAGAGCTGACCAGGGCCAAGTGGGAGGGGCCTGGAAAGGCGCTGAGGGAGGTGGAAAGAAAATCCCAGGCCTTGGGGAGCCTTCGATCTAGATGAGTGTCTACATGGTACCTGTCACCTAGGCAGTTGGACAAGAGAACCTGCAAGCCAGTTTCCTGATGTCAAGTGTGCAGCCATTGCCCTCTCCTGTCCTGAGCGTTTTCTTGGTGAGTTGTGACCCATTCAGTAGTTGTCTCTAGGTAGTTTTATTTTTCAACTTGAAAGGGGGCAAAAGTTGACTATGAAAAGATGACTAAGGAGATACCAGCCATGAGGTTGACCCTGGTGTTCTGTATTTTTCCAGCCTTGTCAAAATAGTCTCCTCTAAATAAATAATAGATAGTCTTTGCTGTCTGGTTTGGTCCACGCTACAAACCACACAAAAGAAAGCAATGTCTAGAAGCAGTCCTTTGGATTCCTGATGCAATGGGTGTGACCTGAAGTGAATGTGTTTTAATCTGCCTTGTGTCTTTGCCACACACCTTCCTACCATGGGCACACTTACAGGCACACACACAATCAACAGACTCACATGTACATTCAAAATATATACAGATATTCAATAACACACACACTCAATATGCTAACATTTAATATATACAAGCACTCCACACACACATGTTCAATATACATGCCTAATAGATACAACTCACTATACACACATGCACACACACTAGGCACACACACGTTCAATACAAATACCCAACAGGTACACAGGTCAGTATACACATGCATACACACACTCAACACATACACACACATGCTGTTCTCATACTACTCAACAGATTCACACATGCAGCAAACACACTCAGCACCCACGCATTCAGCGCTCACACAAATGTCCGTGCACAATGTGAACGTTAGTGATGCTACAGGACTCTGAGTTAACTAACATTTCTTTGTCTTCATTGCCCTGCAGAATGAAAGCCAGACACTACAGAAAACTGAAGTGAGTCAGGAAAGATTCACCATTTTTTGGGGTGGGGGTGGTTCTGGTCGCAGGAATTGAACTCATGACCTTGCACTTGCCAGGCAGGCACTGTGCTGCTGAGCTAAACCCCCAGCCCCTCATCATTTTTAATTATCAAATTTTATGCCACTTATCTGTCTGGTCAGAGTCTGATGGAAAGGGAATGAAAAAACATGGGTGGTAGCACATG